GTGTGAATTTAGTCTTTTTAAATTTTGTTAGGTTTATTTGATGTTTCAAGCGCGTTTCAGGATAACATTTGAGTTGTTTCGACCATTTGACATTTTTGCTTTAATGTTAACTGAGGAATGCATTTGAAACATCAAATAAAGTTAACAAAATTTGGTTAAAAGAAATAAATTCACACCGTACTAAAGATGGAAGACTAAATTGTTTCAAAGTTTCAAAGAGAGACTAATTCCAATTTTTATTAAAAGTTAAGGGACCAAAAATATATTTAATTCTGATATTATAAACTAGTAACTTCTTGATAGCTTAGAGTTAGTTCGTTATCCAATCATAAATCCTCTGAACAGACATCAGTGAAACATATGTTCAGCATGGTACTTACATGAAACATGAACCGACCAAAGCTACAACTCGAATATAACAGAAAACCACACATACACTAAGGTTAGTAATGAATACAAACCTTTGTAAGTTCCCGTTATGTTCCATTGTGAAAAAGGACCTAAGTTGCTCTCGTCCTTTCTTGTAAACAGCTGCTGAGAAAGGTAACATGTCAATAACATACAAATGAAGTGAGTTCACCTTCAATCAGATTTTGACTCGATCATAAAAACCCCAATTTGTCAATTCAAATCATTTTTAATCCTAAGTCAGGGTTTGGGAAAATTAACATCAGTAAAACTAAAGAACAATTGAGTGAAAATCCTCGGACGTAATGAAAAATAAATAAGTGACAACAATATCCTCCATTCTTTACCATAAACCTGATTGCAAATGCATTATTTATTTTTTATTTCAAGATTCAATGTTCTTTAGCTACCTTTTATACAGGTTCTGAAAACATTGTTTAACTACAAAAATGAGCAGAAAGTATTCTGGAAAGAAAAAGAAATTTTAAAAATGCCCAATACCAATTATGATTGCTGATTGTTGATTGCCCAATATATAAATCTATAATAGCATATATATCGATACAATAATTAATGGTCTTGGGGATAATAATATTTGAGATAAGATTTCATCTCTGGACACCTTATGAGTTACATATGAAAGATAAATTCAAACGTATGACCATTTTCTGAGAAGAGTACCATGTAAAGCCCCAAAAAACATACATAAAGCACACACTGGCATACAATTCTATAAATAAAACTTAAGTACCCTGCAAATGCAGCACTTTCCTTATAATTCTCCTCACACATTCTCTTCCAACACCATCTATAAACATTCTGACAAACTTAATAAACACCTATCGTTCTTCTCCCCAGGTTCAAACATTCTAAACACGCTCAATTAACATCAGTTTTAACAGAACCAAAGTTTCAAATTTCGTGTTCCTTGGGTCTAGTCTAATTCACAAATCACAACTGCATAAAGCAACAGAAGCACATGCAATCTCCAACTGACAACAATTAAAATGCAGGCACACATCTTCAACATTACAACTTCAAAAAAAAAAAAATCAAATGCACGTGCACCCTAATTGTTTAATTAACATACTCATTAAAATAAACTGAAATTAAAGACAAGCTCCTAAACAAACCTCATCATCCCAGGTCCTAGTTCTCTCCCTCAAGGGTCTGAGACCCGCCACAGGATTAACTAACAGTAGAACCACCCACCACCCAACTGCAATCTGAAACAAAAATTCAAGCCCCCTCCTCTTCTTGCACAAAGAAAACTCCAATCTTTGAGTGGCAACCATATCAAATCCCCAAAATTCAACTCCAATTCAAGGACCCACTTTTCAGTCGAAGCTGAACAGAGGGAACCCAGGGGAAAAACCCAAGACCCACCATAGCAAATAGCTTAAAAAGGAGGCAACAATAAAAGGGTTGCTTCAGAAGAAGTCAAAAGGGTCAGGAGGAGCTTGATCAGATAGAGAAAACGATAGACCAACGACTTAATTGGTCACCAAATGCAATTTTTGAAGCAAAAAAGATGCCTTCACTACTCAGCTTTGCACCAAATTTAACTTAAGTTGTACTAATCAACAATCACTAGTAGTAAAAATTAAAAAGTTATGGTTTGGGATTTGGGTTTGGAGCAAATTTTTTCTTCTAAGAGATTGTCCCAGAGTTGGTTGTTAACTAGTTTTCTGGGTTTTGGTTTTTTAGTAAAAAAGGCTCACGGTCCTCTAGAACAGAAGCAATCACGCTCTTTGTTAAGGCGATTCCTTGCACGCGCTAAAAAGTATTACTTACTTTCCTGGTGGTTATTATTTAGTATCACTATTATTATTAAGTAATAGTTTATTTTGTTAAGTTTTTTTTTTCACCTTTCTCAGACTCTGTACTGAAAATAATATTTATATTATCTTTTTCAACTCTCTCAGTATTTTTAAATAACTACTCTATTAAAAAAAAGGATAGTGGATTGCTCCGATCTCAATGTAATATACCATTGAATATGTATTTAATTTAATTCAATATTCAGGTTTTAAACCCGAAATTGTTTATTTAGAATAATCTTTTACTACTTGCTAACAAACTCAAATTAGAATAATATCGTATTATAAAATATTCATATAATAATATTGCTATCACATGTGAAGGTAGGTTAAGTCATAGATCATAATCCGTTCATAATCAATCATTATTTGAATTATGGAATTAGTAATTTGAAAAACAAATTCCGAAGAAAATGTTATGCTACATTTGCATGTATCTGGCAATCCATGATTACACAATAATACACGTCCTTGTTGTTATTTTTTTATGACATGGGATTCAAAATTTGTAATAAATGGATTGCATAATTAATCAAAGAGTTTTATATACTTCAATTATCTCTGTCTGTGTTTCTTATATAATAATGGTTCCTTGGTTCAGCTTCTGGATAGTGCCAATAATGATTCATACCAAAAAGGAAAACATGAATAGAAAAACATGAGTTTGTACTTATTAGATCAACATAAACCCTAGACATAGTTTTTTGATGATTTGGTTAGAACTAATACAATGTGCCACTTACCCAATAAAAATTGAGGTACAACATTAATTTTGTTTCTTGTTGAGTATTACGATAAGGGGAAAAATTGCAAAAAGTATAATTGGCCTAACTTTCTAACTAACCTAGGTTGGGATATTCTTCACTTCAAAGCTTGATTTAAGTGTTGTCATTAATATTCATCATTCCAAACGAAACAAACAATATGGCAGGTAATTCGATTGTTTGTATGTCCTTGTCTGATGGAATTAAGAAGAGAATGAATATATAATTTGATATATTTCTTTTCATCTGGAAATTCGTAGAACTATAACTTTCTTTCATTTGTTTTGTGAATGTGAATGGTTTTTCTACCTTTTTTTATTAATAAATTGTTTTCCAATTAACGACTCTATCATCCTCTTTAACTTTATCGTAACTTTTGTTAACATTATATATATTTTTAGATTTTGGAATTGGTTTTGTAATGTGTAGAAATTAGTCTATTCTTGTAATGCCTTTTTTTTTTAAACAAAATGCTTCACTTAGTTTTTTTTGTCAAAATTAGTTGTAGATTAAAGTATATATGTTTGTTTACCGAAAGATATATATGGAGAATTTTCGTTAAAGAGATAAGTTTGTTTGTTTTTTTGTTTTTTTTTTTGTATATTTTTATTATGTATATGGGTTTCAACAACCTATTACTTTATTTAATTATATTTAATCTTCCAGACAAAATGAAAATAATCTAAATGAATTCAAGCTTCCTATCATTGCCTAACAAACCCAACGTTCACTGTTCATGGGAATAATTGTTAAAAAACAAACAATTATGAGCTCAGTGGAGATAAATCAAATAAATATATAATGTGAGGATATATCATATTAAAGTATATAAAATGATTTCGTCAAGATTAAAAATAAAAGTTGTATACTTTGATAAAACTATAATCAAAACAAAATATACAAGTTAAAAGTAAAATATAATATATTTATGATAACAAAAATAGTTATTTAAAGCGAGTTTGTTGTAACTATATTTACAAAAATGGAAAAAAAAAATATTTATGACTCAATTGTTGGTTATGATAATAAATATATAACTTAGTTAATTATTTGTTTTTTCTATATGGTTATTATAATTATTTTGTTTTGTTTCTTCTGATAAGTATGTTCTTTTTGATTTTATCATTCTTTGTAGGAGAATGGTTAGTTTATCATTAATTTTATTAAACTTTTTTGTCATACCATCATTTGCCACATAAAGTCTCATAAAACTTTTTTGACTTTAATAATAATAATAATAAAATAAGTAATAATAATAATAATAATAATAATGTCACTATATATATCCATATTAACAAATCAAGAAAGATAGTGGCAAACTATAATGACTGATCTATGCTGGAGTCAAAGGTAACCATGACCCTCATAATGTTTTTTAAATTATATATATACCTAATTTGTTTTGAAATATTTAGATTATTTTGACACTATTATCTTTATTTCAAGTTGAGTCGCCAATAACATATTATATCACTATTTTATTATAGTGTCGTGATTATTATTAATGTTGTCATAATAATTACCACTTATATTAAATTGTTGTTTTATCACTCTCTATCTATTTTACCATCTTATTTCAACTATTATGGTTATCATCCTTATCTCACTATATATGGTTAGCACCATTTTCTATTATATCCTTTTATTATGTTAATCGTTGGTACATTATAATTTGAATTGTGGCTACCATCTTATTATATGTAATTGAATTAATTACATGATATACATTTGATATGAATAGAATTAATTTTATTTTTAACTTATCTATTTTTATCCTATACTTGTGCTAGTAAATCCATCTGATAGTTAGTTAAAATAATCCTTAAGATTTTATTTGAATGCGATTGACTTTTAATAATTATATTTTTTATATATAATTATATATCATATATATATATATATATATATTATATATTCATAACGATCACATGATTAAATATCCCTTATATGCAAACCTTTCATTCCATTCCTCAGATTAATTTCTTCTGCTACAAAGAACATCTCAAACATGGCAATGGGGTACGCTAATAACGGTTTTCTTGGGCTTTTTCTCTTCTTCATGTCTATCTCCATTCTATTTTCTTCACCAACAGCATGCACATTATTTGAAGTTCGTTGGGTCCCCAACCTTTCAGAAGATTACACTCACTGGGCTCAGAGAAACAGGTTTCAAGTCAACGACACTCTTTGTAAGTCAAACTTACTTCTCTTTTCAATCCTAAAACACTACACAAATTATATGTACAACGTTATATAAAAATAATGGAATTTACCGGTGTTTTTTATATTTTATTTTTACATTTTTTTATCTTAATTTTTTCTTTTTGGTGGTGGTGACATGCAGTGTTTAAGTATAAAAGTTGGTCTGATTCAGTGTTGGTGGTAAAGAAGGAGGATTACTATTCATGCAACACTAACAACGCCATGCAAGAGATGGACGGTGGTGATTCAATGTTTACTTTTGTGAAATCGGGTCCTTTTTTCTTCATCAGTGGCAACGCTCAAAACTGCCAACGTGGTCAGAAGCTAACCGCCATCGTTTTGGCCGTCAGACATAACAAACTCACTCACTCGCTTTCTCCGGACCCACGACGAAGCAGAAATGGGCCATATCCTCTGACTGAGCACAGGCAAGCGTGGCCTCCGCCAACAGGCGACAGTTTAGATGGGTGCGTCGCTGTGCATGGTGTTAGCATGGCTAGTTCAAGGTCATTTGGTTTACTTTGATATTTTCTCCTCACGCGTCCACTCCTCCTTTTACCCTCACTCTTATTCTCTTCACTAATTTTTTAGGTTATATTTCCTCTATCTCTCCACATGAGGCACCCCTTCATATCGGCTCATTGTTCTTTTATGTGATTTCTTCTTGTCGAGGGGGAGAAGGTTCGGGGGAGAGGTTATCAACAGTCATCTGTTTAAAGTCAGGGGAATGACTAGCGGACGTAACCTATTACGTGCCTAAGATATGAATCCGTAACGGATGTCAAATCATAGTGTAGGATCGCATCTTAGGTGCTAATCCGTAGTGAAGGATTGAATTCGAGGGATTAGGCATTGGGATCCGTTTTGTTCTCTCAGCATCGTGGCATGTTTAGTTGGTACACTGCCTTGTTGGGTTTATGAACTGCTGCACTAATATTTTTGGGATATTTCCTCACACAACCATTTTCCTCACATCCATAGGATATAACTTGCTGCACTCCTAGTAATCTCATTTTTGTTAGGTTATTATTTTAACTTATCCATATCAACTATTCATATACTTTTCAGTCCTTCAAGAGTGATAAATATTTTTTACTTTCCTAACATTTTTTCTTTCTTGTTGTTTGTTTGTCGGTGTAGATATAGATCAAAGTTGATAGAAGAAGACTTGAGGCTGTGGAAAGAATAGTATCACAGTCTCTCTCATGTGCAGGCTAGAGGGACGTGCGTACTCAGGAATGTGGATGTGCATGGAATAGGTACTAACTTCTAAGTCGTGTTCGAATAAACTGCAAATAAATAGATAAAACTAATTAACAGTGAACGAGTTAGATGTCAACATCTCAACGGTCAGGTTCATCTTCAAGATTCAGATGATCACGATGTCGGGGTCAACATCCCAGAGGTCAAGATGTACCTAATTCAACGGTGAAACTTCACGTCAAAAGGTGACGTGTCAACATTTCATCGATTAAGATATAAACATCCTCCGATGAAGGGATTCACATCTTCAAGGTGGTAAGATGCATCACTACGGTGGTCAAGGGAGAACATCTTCGTTCAAGATGAAATCCTAATCATTGTCAAAAGCCTTAACGATGTCAACACTCAAAGTACTCCATCGATGCAAATTTCACGATTCCATCACGTTAGAATACGGAGTCAACCCTAGAACTAACCAGGAGTAATCCGTTAGGACTGGCACCTTTGTTTGTTTTTTCTTATAACGGGTTGACATCCGTTGAATATGGATGTCATACCACGTTGTAATTCAATGTTTATAGTTATCTATTAATTATTATGATTTAACGAATTTGAGTTGACTGAATAGGGTAGTAACGGATTATAAGGGAGGAAAATCTGACGAGAAATGAGCAACAGAGGAGAGTGAACGATGGCATGTAAGGAATGGAGGTGAAAGAGTGAGTGAGTTAGAAATAGAAATAGATTTTAGAAAGTAAATAAATAAGTTAAAAGTAAAAAATTTAATTTGTATATATGAATAATATAAAGATGGGGAGGTGGAAGGGAAAAGTGTGGGGTGGAAGGGAGATAACAACTCTCTTATTTTTTTCTGAGTTAAAGTTGTTTTGGATTTTCATTTTAGTGCAGGCTGATGCCTTCGACTAAAATGTTTTCAAAACACCATTTTTTTTCTCACAAACACTTAATATATTAAAATCTAATGTAAATTCACTATATTAATAGTTTACAAGACATAAGTTATAAACAACATGATAATTAAGTTTCGTTTGAATTAAACAGGATAGTCATTATCTGGCTAACAGATATTTTGACCAGTCGTCACAAAGGTGGAATTGTGGTTGTTGTCTTTTGGATTAGAGTGACCACACAACAATAAATTCAAATTTAATAATTTTTAATTTATTTTAGTTAGTTGTATTCATATTATACGATTTTATCATTTAACAAAATATATTTAAAAATATTGTATACAGAAGTAACATTACATATATATTTCTTAAACAAATTCAAATTTTTGTGGTGCTTACGTATTTTTCTGTGCAGGTTCTATCTGAAAAATATTAAATATTATTACTATTATTATTATTTCCATTTTCGAAAGTGAGGACAAAAAGGTTTTGGTTGTAACAGTTGTTCATTAATAAGAAAGGAAGTTGTAAAGCTTCCAATTGTTCACTGAATACTTTCCACCACAAAGGTCTTTCCTACGTCACATCATTGATTAGTTGAGCGATCTTGCATGAACTAATGATAGTGAATTTTATTAGAAATTATATGTTTTAAAAATATTTCTTTTTACCGGAAAATAATGTGTTTTAAATTACAATTTATTCATATTCATAATTTTAAAATTTACTTATTTTGAAAAAAAAATTGTAAAAATCTCTAAGATCCCAGGACGTACTATAAATGAGTTTCATAAGTTCTTTTTTTCTTTTCACCATGATCGCCCTACAACTTAATAAATCTTCTCAAACATGTTAAGGAATGAGTGATATATTTATCCTGATTTCAACTATATAATTTATAACATTTACACGCACGTTTAAATTTTTAATTTTGAACAATAAAAACTGAAATTAATTAAAATATCTGTAATTTTTAAATTCATCTATATATATATATTATTATATATATATATATATTGTAAGTAAACAATGAAAATTTCTGTAGATATTTTATAAAATATTCAAGAATAGATAAGAATAATAATAAAATCTAAATAAATTGATGAAAAATTATGGAAAAAAATATATAACTCGTTAAATTAAAAAGATTCATTTTACCTCTTAAATGTATCATTTATTTATTTCATATATTTACTATGCATTTTTAAATAATTATTATTTTTTACTTCTGTTGCAATTTGTATGTATGAAAAGTCTTCTTGTTTATTTTATCAAGATGTTTCTTATTCTATAGGTCGTACTTTCTTATGAACTTGTAATAAGAGTCATGGTACTGATTTTTTTTTTCATGAATCTTTCATGATTTAAAATAATTGAGGATATTCAACTCTACCTAAATGTTATTTTTCATATGTTAAATAATTTCTATTCTGATATGACTCTTATCAATGAGAGATGGAAACACAATTACATATGTAAAAAATAAAAATAAATCTCAAATGTAATAGCAGGAAACTCTACAATAAATGTAAGTTAGTGAAAATCACAGTAGATATACTGATTATAAAATTGAACACAAAAAGAGTTTTCCATAATACAAGTGTTTTCTGCATTAAACATACCATCACCACCTTCGATAAACAAACACATGACAATGCTCTAATTGGGTTACAATGGAATACTCTCCGTTCGCAC